CTAACATGCTAATCAAATGCTAATCACACGGCAGCAACTGAAGGTGGTTAGGTATCAAGATGAATGAAAACGACTGGTTGACGTTTGAACAGAATATAAAGAAAAGGGGACTGAAATTACTTTGAAAGAGGAATGGTCTCTAGGGTTTAAAGAGAATGGTAACAGAAAATATCCAGTGAATGTTAGTTTTGTGGAGGAAAAAGTCTTTGACATCATAGGTTATAGGAAAATGGTCAGACTGGTCCAAGCTAATCCAAAGGCAACAGAAGTCCAAATATGTCTTGTTTCAACCAGTCTGTAGAATCATAATCAACCATCTTTTAGTGTGTGTGTGTGTGTGTGTGTGTGTGTGTGTGTGTGTGTGTGTGTGTGTGTGTGTGTGTGTGTGTGTGTGTGTGTGTGTGTGTGTGTGTGTGTGTGTGTGTTTCTTCTTGACTGTCCCTGCACCAAGCATCAAAACAAATTCCCTATGAATGTAAGAACTGACTTGGCAATAAGTAGGCCTGGGACAATAGCAAATTTTGCTGGAAATATTGTCCAACAAATTATTGACGATAAATGACATTATTGTCAGCATCGTAGAGACCAAAATAACCACTTAAGTAATGTTAATATATCATAATAATACAAGTGCATCCTTTACACTGCAACAATTAAACCATTATTTTACATTGGAAAGTCCAGAGGCAGAACTTCTAAATAAATAAATAAAACAAACTAAATAAAAATAAAATAAAATTGCACCAAAAACAATTAAATGGACCCTGTTTCTCCAAAACAATATATACAATGGCCTGTCCAGTGTAAAACATAAATAAATAATACTGCACTTCAATAATGATATTAATTAATAATGATATAGTTGTACATTTCTTAACCTCAATATATTGAAGTAGGAAAAATTATTGAGTTAATTTTCATCTATTGTACAATTAATTGATTTATTGATTATCGTCCCAGCCCTAGCAATAAGCCTCATTCTGATTCTGAATGCACAACACATGCACACAATCTTGGAGCTGGTGGACTACAATAGCAGAGGTCTACACCAGGCGCTTCCCCTGTCAGCTAAGAATAGGAAACTGAGGCTAGACTTCACACAGGACAGGACCACCCAAACTGGACACAGAACTCTCAATGACATCATCATAAAAGAATGGATCCATTATTAGGGATTGGAATAGTATTTGGTTTTTTCCTTTTTTTAGGGAATCAACAAAATTCCGTGGTATCTACTAAGGACCGATTTGTGTGATACAGGGTATCTGCAGGTTTAAGGGAGCCAAATTTAAGACTTTTTAAGACCTTTTTTAAGGCCATTTTGACCAAATTTAAGCAATTTTTTAAAATTAAATTTAAGATATAATTTCCAGCTATTGCCTGGAACATCGCGAACGTGGGATTAGCCATCCAGTTACCATTACACTTGCACATCCCCATGGCGCAAGCTCCCACTAGCTTAACCAGCTAATGCGCTCATCTAAAAATAGCCCCCTTTCACAACCAACTGAATGTGTACGGTTCCGCTTACACCAACATCGTACACTAAAAATGCTGAACACTAACTAGAAATGTATGAAAATTGTATAGAAATAAAAGAATCTTGTTTATTGGTTCTTTGGACATTTAAGACCTTTGGAAACTGTAGGATTATTTGTCATTTTTAAGGATTTTTAAGGCCTTAAATTTGGAAAAGCAAATTTAAGACTTATTAAGACATTTTAAGGACCCGCGGATACCCTGGTGATATGAAACGGTGCCGTGTTTCGGTACCTGTCCTTCATTAACAAGAACTTGCAAAACAGCAATTTGCCAAGATAAACAGCAGCGCTTGCGCAAGAGCGTAGGGCGAGCTGGAAACAGAGCAAGTAGCTCTAAAGTTTGGGTCCACTTCACTAAATGCGATGGGTGACTGGGTGATGATGACAATATTTTTTTCCATTTCCATTTTTTATTTCATTTCATGCAATAAAACAAAATTTACATTAAAACAATCCGCGTTCACAAATAATCATAAATGAAAAGGAGCAGAAAGAAGCAAAAACTTACAATATCTGCCCCCTTTACACATCAGACATTAGCTGTTCAACTCGAAGACTGTCATTCACCTACCCCCCACCACAAGTCTATCAGCCTACTTAAGATCTTATTATTTCATCAAGATACGTTTGACACTTTTTTTAAATACAGGAAATGTTTTAGATTGTTTTATTTCACTGTTGAGACTATTCCATAAACCGACACTTTAAACTGAAATACATATTTCCATTATCACTGTTCGGAATCTTGTTTTTTTTTTTTACTATAATTTCCTTTAAAAATATAATTACTTTATCGTTTTACAAATCTCTTTTGAATATTTATTGATAGGACTTCTTTATGTGCTTTGTACATAAGTTTCAATAAATGATATTCTACTAATTTGTCAAATTCCATTAGGTCTAGCTGTGAAAACATCGGATCCGTATGATCCCTACATCCACTTCCACTAATAACTCTCACTGCTCTATTGTGTAAATACAATACAATATGTCAGATATGGAAGAATTAACGAGTTACACAGAATATACAAAGCTTTTTTGTTCAACAATTCCTTCGTCTTATTTAGTACTGCAAAATTTCGAGATATTTTAATTTGAATAGCATTTATGTAAGACTTCCACGACAAATGTTCGTCAATCATAACACCTAAAAACTTTCCTTCTCTTACTCTTTCTATCTCAATTCCTTCAACATATAATGATGCATCAGCACTGTTTTTGCTACTATAAAAAAACTATTAACTTAGTTTTATCAATGTTTACAGAAAGCCTATTGATATTAAACCATTTTTTGATTTTTGTAAACTCATTTTCAACTACATCTAACATAACGTTTGAATTTTCTACTGAATAAAATAATGTAGTGTCATCTGCAAATAGTATAAACCTGAATAATTTAGAAACCATAGCAATATCGTTAACGTACAAAAGAAAAAGTAATGGTCCTAGATGACATTGACAATGATCTAAGTGAGGAATCATTGTCTTAATCTGCTCCAATGGGTAAATAAACAGTTTACATTAACGTTAGCTTGATATTTTAGCATCCATTAATGAAAAATCAACAGTTTGAAAAAGAAAGATAAAATGAATGAAGACACACAGTAAATTTAGTTAGTACTACAAGGACCCACCCATCACACAATTTGTCCATTGAGGAAAGAAGAGGAATGAGAGTACACGGAGCTGGGTTTTAGTTTGTGAAACATCACAATATTAAAATACAAACAGTTGTATGGTATAAAAGTTTGTTTTAATTTCATTTGTAGTCTATAATACCGGGTCTCCTCATCATAGTTATTCCAGATGGCATAAAAGAGGAGTAGGAGTACATGGAGCTGGGTATAATGTTTAGATCATTTAGAAACAGTTGTAGTTAAAGGTTTTCATTTTGAAAAATTTTGTACAACACTATGATGACAAAATACAAAAAGTTGCATGTTATATTTATCATGATAAAATATATCAAAAATAGTTATAAATTAAGGGAAAATATATATTAAAATAAAAAAGAGTTTTATTTAATTATTAAACACTCAAAAGTATCAGACATTGGTACCGGTATCGATTCCTAGGTATCGGGCATTGGTACCGTATTGATTCAAAAGTCAAATGAACCTATCCTACCCACCATGCCTTGACAGTTACAGGCCACTCGTAGCGTAATGGTGTGGGGGGTGATTTTCTTGACTCAGTTCAAACTCACCAAACTGGAAACAAATTAAAACAAGAGTTGTTTGGATAGAACATTTGCTTTTACTGTGTTGTAAATCATGAGTATGTACCTTATTTTCTAACTTACTCTTCTGGCTGAACCTGATTTACCAACTGAAAGACTTTTAGATTAAATTTAGCCTCAAGCTGAAGTTCCATTTTCACTTCATATTGAATAAAACTTACACACCAGACAGATTTTTAAAAGCATAACAGTTTTTGCTTTCAGAAGAATTTTATTTGTTCTGTTTAAACAAGTTAAGTACTGTTTGTGGAACAAATCTCATTCTAATGAGACAGCATGCAAACATTCCTTTAAATTAATAAAGTCCGTCTGATGTATCTTTTGTGCGTTCATTCTGTGTTTCTTCTAACCGCATTTAACAAAAAAGAAGGTAAAACAACCCTTCTCTGTGTTAAAAAAAGAACCAAGTCTGATGTAATGAGTCTCTGAACAGCAGAAATTCCAGGAATGTTGTGGATAAACTGAGCTTGAGTGGAATCTAAAGAACTAACTGACCAATACATATCCAACCAGATGATCTGCTCCACCTCTTATTTTGAATATCTGTCATGGATGCCTCCATGTCCTACAGTAGCAGCTGCGATCTCTTTGTTGTGAGAGTCAACAGCTGAGCGGAGGCAGTCTGCCGATCCGTAGCTAGCTCCGCTCCTTTACAGGACAGCTAACGAAGAAGACATAATTCCTGTTAAGTTGGTACAACCAAACGTGAGTGAAACTGAAATAGCACATCTCTCTGACGTGTGAGTGATCTTTACGTTAACCACAGGTTTGTTTAGAACGTTTAACCACACCCATTTGCTATGGGTTGTAGCCGAGCGCTGCTGCTTCCTGACAGGACGCCCGTGATCAAAACCACAACACAATAGTTGTCCCTTTAATTATACTAAAACCACATCTGGAGACACCTCCACGCCCTGATGTGTCTGCTCGAGTATCACCGGTAACACAACGGTGACGCAAGCTCTGCGGCTAACCATCCGGCTAGCTTACGCTAGCCATTAAGTACAACAACAATTAACCACAGGCCATACATTTTGGACTCAAACCCCACTGAGTCAACAATGAAACACCAACAGGTGCACCACAACAGACAAAAGGACAACAAACTCATCCACAAAAGCAGCGTGCGGTGAATGCAGCCCTTATAAAACAGTTGCAGCGGTTGGAAAACACCAGAAGAAATACCTCTTTAACCGACGTAAAATGGGATAAATCCTTACCCAAAGCGAGATTCTGACTTCCAGAGAAGCTGGGGTCACCCCCTGAGATCAAATCCGCCGTGTCATGGGTGCGTTTGTCAAAAACAAGCGGGGAAAGAGGATTAGCTGTGTGCTGGTAACTCCAACATCTCTCACGCAGTGAAAGGGGGAATGCAGGAATGTGACGTTCAGTCCCGGTCTGCTGGCAGCGGTGACACGTGCAGCAAGACGCACGGCACTCTGGGAAATGTCGTCAAGCCAGACCTCCTTCGATTTTTACATGACTACAAGAGATCTACGGTGTCTTCGGTCGAGAGTGACTTTCAAAATAAAAGCGCACTTATAGGACATGTGTCTGGTCTGAACGTGCTGATGGACACTTTCTAAGTTTGTGTAAAATTGTGTCTTAAGATAAAACTGCGTTTTAAATGATTTTATCTATTAAAAAACACAAGACAGAAAACAATGAAAACATTTTTTTATTTGTGTGCAAGCTAAAACTGCGTTTAAAATTATTTTATCTATTAAAAAAACACTTTTAAGACCGAAAACGATTAAAAACTTTTCTTTTGTAAAATTGTGTGCAAGATAAAACTGCGTTTGAAATGATTTTATTTATTTTAAAAACTTTAAATTAAAAGAATAAACAGGAGTTAATCGTTTGTTTTTTTGTAAAAATGAGTGCAATATAACACAGCGTTTTAAATGATATGATCTATTAAAAAGACCTTTAATTAAAAGAATGAACACGATTTAACCCTTTTTTGTGTAAAATTGTGTGCAACATAAACTGCATTTTTTATGATTTTAGTTATTTAAAAATACTTTAAATTAAAAGAACACATTTGTGTAGGTTACTTTGCTATTCTTATACATCCCGTCCCATTCATCCTGATCTGATGTGGCATTTCTAAATAGTTTCACTATATTCAATGGTTTCTTTCTCAAAGTCTGTCTGATTCCACAACATCATTCCACTTCAGTATTACAGAACACATCAAGTACTAGATAGATATAAAAACTATTTTGACTATATTCATTGGTTAATTTCTTTAAAAAAATGTTCGATTCTGCAATATTATTTCACCTCAAGTACACATCAGGTACTACATCCTCCCTAAGGTTCATGAAGATCTTATGTGGCATTTTAAAATAAAGTGCAATCAGATTTGACCATAAAAGCAATTTAGACTAAATTCAATGGTAAATTTCTCAAAAACTGTCTGATTCCGCAACATCATTCGACCACACTCTTAAAGTATACAACAAGTACTAAATCTTCTCCGAATTTCAAAAAGATATGATGTGGCATTTCAAAATAAAGTGCAGTTAAATTTTGCCAAAACAAATAAACAATTTCAACAATTCAATGGTTAGTTTGTCAAAAACTGTCTGTTTCTGCAACATCATTCCACCTCAGTCATAAAGTACACTTCGAGTACTACATCCTCCCCAAAGTTAAAAAAAGATCTGATGTGGCATTTCAAAATAAAGTGCAATCAAATTTGGCTATAAAAACAATTTTGATTATATTCAATGGTGAATTTTTTTTAAATGTCTGATTCCACAACATCATTCCACCTCAGTCTTAACGTACACATCAAGTACTACATCCTCCCCAAAGATCATGAAGATCTGATGTGGCATTTTAAAATAAAGTGTCACATTAGACCAAAAATATCTCCCTTCAGTCTGATGTCGATGGTCTGACCTGACACCCCTTCTGTGAACGTAGGGCCTCTTGTGGACAAAAGTGGAACTGCAGAACGTATGCGATTCTCTTCTACCTTCTTTTATGACCAAGCAACATTTCCAAATACAGAATGGATATTATATTAGCATCATTATAAAAAGGTAAAAGCTATTTGATGACAATCAAGTTTAGACCAACAGATTCAGAAATAAAGAAAATATGTCAATACGTATCCAAATGACTGAAATTAGAAATGCATGAAGGTCTTTTTTCTTCCAGAAGACTGCTGAATTGATCACAGTCAGAGGCTAATAAAGAACTCAAGTCTTCAGCAGGTTACTGCTCTCTCAACCGACCCAATGCCCTCCTTTTATTCTTCTTACTTTCTCCTCAGTCTCGCTCTCCCTCATCTCTCCCAGCCCCATGTCTATCCTTAGCTGTCCCATAATTACTTTGCCTTCATCATAACGCCCGCAGCACCACAAGTTATCCAGTGCTCTGTTTCGCTCCCATGCTGCTGTCTCTGAGCAAACGGCCCTTTTTACAAGGCTTTCTCCCACACGTATTCATCTACAGATTAAATAAAAGATGCCATTATCACCCCTCTTTTACAGAGTTAGGTCTTTGAGATTTGCAGCCCTTTGTGAAGTTAAGTTATAAATAAACATTTAAAACTAATCTTGTTGCCAAGGAAACTATTGCTTCAGGCTTATTGCTCTAAAAATATCAGCAAATTTGACAAAGGCTGAAGAAAATATATGAAGATTTCATTTCTCTAAATACACTGAACAAAAATATAAATGCAATAATTTTGCTTTTTGCTCCCATTTTCATGACCTGAACTCAACCATCTGAAAGTGAGCACTTTTCTTTTACCAAGATAACCCATCCCACCTCACAGGTGTGGCATATCAAGGGGTTGATTAGACAGCATGAATAATGTTTAGGCGTGCCTTAGACTGCCCACAATAAAAGGATACCCTGAAATGTGCAATTTGACCATTCATCCACAGCCATCACCTCATGTTGAAGTTTGCGGATGATACCACCACAGTGGGTTTCATAACAAACAACAATGAGACCCTCTACAGAGAGGAGATCCATCACCTAACTCAGTGGTGTTCTTTGAACAACATGGTGCTCAACGCCAGCAAGACCAAGGAGGTCATAGTGGACTACAGGAGGTCCAATAGGACAGAGCACCCACCTCTACTCATTCGGGGGGAGGTAGTAGAGCGTGTTGACAACATCAAATTCCTGGGCATCCACATCACCTCAGACCTAACCTGGTCACTAAACAACTCCTTTCTGGTAAAGAAGGCCCAACAAAGACTCTTTTTCCTCAGGAAACTGAAGAGAGTCAGCCTTTCTCCCAGCTGCTCAAGAACTTCTATAGAGCCAGGACTGAGAGCATTCTATCCCTCAGTATGACGGTGTGGTACGGGAGCTGCACAGTCCAAAACAAAAAAGACCTGGCCAGGGTGGTGAAAACTGCCCAATGGATCGTGAGGAGTCTGTTACCAGATCTGGACTCAGTAAATACTATTCCACCAATCAAATTTTTTGTCATCTTGTCTTGTCTTATCATGGTGCAGTATGATAACGCACGGCCCCATATTGCAAAAATCTGTACACAATTCCTGGAAGCTGAAGCATCACAGTTCTTGCATGGCCAGCATACTCACCAGACATGTCACCCACTGAGCATGGTCAGACATTCTTCCTCTGGACTTTGTGAGAACAGAATTCAAAGTTTCATCAGTTACAGAAGTGGTCCAGGCACTGAAGAAACTAAGCAGTCCCAGACTCTCACACCACTATCACCATGTTTAACTCCTGGTTTGCTATGTTTCCTGAAATGTAGAATGTTTTACACTGTATGTTGCGTTTATACATTTCTTTAGGTCAGTGCATGATGTATTGCTTTTTTAGATCAGCTCCACATCATCAGAATAGTTCAGTGAAAGCAATCTCACCATTTGCATCATTTTGTGATGTTGGCCTTTACAGCCATTACAAACACTTCAGACTTGAAAAAGCCTGTCAATCCGTTTTCTGCCAGTGTTTTAAAAGTCGCAGTTTGTGACGGACCAGTGACTCTACTCAAGCCCCTCCCAGACATTAGAGCTTCTCAGCTTGCAGGTGAAAATCTAAAACTGACAATATGGTGCAAAGTCCATTTATGTCAGCAATTAAACTCACACTAAGGGACCATCTAAAGGCTCAGGGACCCTTTGCAAATGTTTTGGATTAATTACCTTATTAGAGTGTCACACTTTGAGTCTAGATTATTGAACCTTTTCACAATTTTTTTTTTAAATTTTGTATGTGGGGTTCTCACAATCTGTAAGCCATAATCATCACAATTAAAACAAATAAAGCCTTGAAATATCTGGGTTTGCTTGGAATTAGGCTAATATATTAGTTTCACCTTTTTAAGAGACGTTATGCAACTTTTTCATATTTTTAAATCATTTTTTGAGTCAGTATGTGCTAAAATGACCCTTCACATGGCAACGAAAGGCCGCCCAGCTCCTATTGACCCCTGTGGCCAGAATATTCCACTTGCATCTTCAATTGCTCTGTTGGACTGAAAACAAAATTGAGCTGACATACCTGGCGCTACAGTCGGCTTCCAGCATGTTTCCTACATCTTTTACATCACAAACAAAGCTGATTTGTTTAATTTATTGATGAATTACTCTTGTAGACACTAATGAAGGCGGGGGAGTCATTTCAGCAGTTAGAATAAGGTGTTAAAAAGACGAACGCATAGCGAGGAGATAGGTTTTGCTTTTGGTTCTACTACGCAAACACTAGGGTGTGCTATAGAGGCAAGCCCAAACTGCCTAGTCTCCTTTTAAGAGAGAAGAGAATCGCTGCAGACCCAGAGCCCACAGTTTCAGGCCGACCACAGAAAGTATAAGCGCCACCCCTTGGTTTCACAGCAATCTAAACCTCTTCACACGCTCTCACGCCACACCTCCAATATCCGTGCTGAAGATGAGTGGGAGTGGCCAGAAACCGCTTGTCTTCCTTAAAGTAACAGAGCCCTAAAATGACTCATTCTGGTACAGTAGGTACTTAAGATGTCAAGGACAAGTTGCTGAAATCACTTTATTTGAGACTGATGTGGGATAAATAATGTCATTGACATTTCAGTAGGCCATTATAACTTTAAATAATTATAGCATGTCCCTTATAACTAAAGGACCAGTTACACGTAGAACTGTTTTTTTTTACCTCAGCCAATAAAATCTCCACTTGAAAACAACAATTTGTTCTCTCAGATTATCTTTGTCTGAGCTGAAATATTTTAGTGTGACCAAAAAACAAAATTATTAAAAATTTCTGATGGACCACAAACTTTTTCACAGCATGATTTGAATAGATGGGGGAGTGAAACATCTGGAAACGGGCAGAAGCTGAGCTGCCATTGGTCGGCCCGCACAAGGCTGAATCCTCACTGGAGGGATGTTACCAGGCACCAATCAGTAGTTAAGAGGGTTCATGATGATATTTCCATGTGTTTGTGGCCTGGACAGCTCCGTCTATGTGTGTTATAAAAGGCAAACCATGAACACGGAATTAGACAGCACAGGCCCAACAGCTCTCAGGGTCACAGACTCTCCCCTCCTGTGGCTTCCGAGAGCAACGATGTGATACAAACAACAGCAGCTAGCAAACTGTTATTACAGAACATGTGGGTTTCATAAAGGCCAGCTGATTATTTGCGCCTGTCAGCATGTGGAGTTCATCAGGCCAGCCAGCCTGGTGCAGTGGTCTTCTGATGTTCTGCTCTTTTATTCTTGGGTTGAATGGCTGCAGGAGATACTGTAGGTGTGGGAGAACGATAACTGCGAGGACAGAAACTAAGTGGGTGGAAGAGACTCAATGTCTCTTTGCGTAAAACACACACACACACACACACACACACACACACACACACACACACACACACACACACACACACACACACACACACACACACACACACACACACACACACACACACACACACACACACACACAACTTCAGTTTGTTGGGTAACATGATAGCTTTCTCACCAGCAGGTGGGGGCAGTAGACAGTTCATGGGGCTATTGTGTACTGAGTAATGCTGATAAAATGTGCAATAAGTCACAAACAGAGGGTGGAATTAAATGTGTTAGTATTGGGTTCAAGCTAAAATAATTAAATTAAAATGTTGCAGCAGTAAGTCTGTTATTTTAAATCAAGCGTTTTATGACTGAATAAGTGTCTGTGTCAACCTGAAGCTGAAGATTGCAATGTTATAAATACATCCAATTTCATATAAATTAGAGTGAAAATGTAAGGAAAAAAAAGAGAAATTACAATGAAACTTCTCACATTTATACCTGCAGGTCTGTAGCTGGTAGAAAAAAAACATTTTTGTTTCAATGTCTGAAAAAAAAAACATTAAAATATACATGGTTAGGGTTAAGTTTTATTATCACAATTATTACATTGAAATTACTAATAAAATACAAAATACCCTCTGAAATAAAAAAGTAGGATTCTTTTATTTATGTGCTTTTTTTTCTTGGCATGGGCAATAAACAGAAACAGAATCATTTGGACGAAAGTTTTGTTTTTAAATGCTGTGAATTCCAGCTATAAAGTAAATGGCTGCTTTTTGCTCATTAGGCAAATAATTGTTATTACTTAAAATGTCTTTTACCTTTTTATAATGCATCTTCTGTTTCAGGCATGCACATGATAGTTTTTCTTTACATAGTATCAGACTTCTTATTCTGTTGTCCTTCAGCCTCATTTTGCAGAATGTGAGGTTGCAACCCCCCCACCCCCACCCACCCCGCAGCAGCCTGACACTCCCCCTGCTGCTGAGCTAATGTAGAGCGGAGGACAGTCCGAGGATCATGTTGACAGCTCTGGGCCACGTCGTGTGAGCTCGCCTGCGTGCATGGTGAGCACCCGTTGAGTAGGTGGGTCTGCTGGAAGGGAGTGGGAGAGGTGGGAAAGGGGCAGATGGAACACAGAAGGAAGTTCACCAGCAACACTTTCTGAGTGTCAGAAAAGTGGAAAAAGGACAGAAAGGGCGGGGACAAGAGAGAGAGAGAGGGGGGGGGGTTGGTATGCAGAAAGACAAAGATGGAAAGAGAGGAGGGGTGAAAGCATGCGGTGGAGTCGGGGATGCAGAGTAGTGGGAGAGGTGAGAGATGTGTCAGGTAACAGAGGGAGAGGTGAGAGGGATGTGACAAGCAGCAGGGGCTAGAGGGTGACAGGTAGGGATGCAGGGCGGAGGAGTCGGGGTTTGGGGAGTGAGATAATGATAGCAGGTGGAGGATGGAGGGAGGGAGTGAGGGAGGAAACACACTTCTGACCTTCAAAATGTTTTGAAGGCTGTTGTGGACAAAAAGGACCCAGAATCTTCCCACGTCGG